AGACCCCAGGAATGTGGAGCTGCCTGAGGAACAACAACTTCCAGCCTCACATTCCCGAATTCTTGGTGCTTTTGGTGGCACTGCGGGAGAAAACCCAAGGAACTGCAGGACTTTCCCTGCTTCCAACAGGAAAATAAATCAATGTATGGAATATGAACCACACGATCCATGGATTAAACAAGCCGCCCTCAACTTGCTCCCTTCGTTCCCATCTTCCCAGGGATCCCAAACTCACCGTCTCCCAGGAATTCTCCAGCTCCAGGAGTGCTTAGGAGGCCTTAAAAGGGAATTTTTAGGGACTGAAAGGAGGGAGCCAGGACAGGCCCCCCAGTTTTATGGGATAAAAGGGACTGAATGAAAGCAGCAATTCCCCAAATCCCGTGTTTTCCCTGTCTGCATTCCCAGGACAACGTGGAATGTTTGAGTGCACTTTGATCCCCTTATCCCACCCCCCAAAAAATCAAAGCAAATCAAAACCCCCATCCTCAAATCCCAAATCCCACCAGATATTCCAGGGTTAGGAACACTGCTGTGATTAGTGATTAATAATAATTATAATTAAAAGAATAAAGCCCATAAAGTGCCAGCTGACATGGCCTGGAGAGCCCACAGCCATATATCTATATATTATATATTTTTACAGATAGGAAAATACAGCTATAAAAGAGGTATTAAAACATATATAAAATAGATATAAAATTTGGTATAAAGTAGATGTAATAGATATAAATATTGATATAAATATAGATTTAAATCTAGATCTAAATATAGAAATATATAGATAAAATATATAAATACATAGAAATAAATATAGAAATATAGAGGTAAAATATATAAATATATAGAAATAAATATAGAAATATAGAGATAAAATATATAAATATATAGATATAAATTAAAGACTCATTTAATCATTTAATCCCAGTTTAAAAGGGGGGAAAAAATGACACTTTTGGGGTTTTTTTTCCCCCCCATATAAATCAGACTCCTCAGCCCCAGCCAGGCCAAATCACCCCCAAATCCTCATCCCAATTTGATGCTCCTCCACTGCCCAAAATCCATGGGGGTTTTCCCATGGAAATTTGGGCAATATTTGATGGTTTTCAAGGTGTAAATAACCTTTTTTTTTTTTTTAATTTTTTTAATTCCACAATTCCCGTTTGGGAGGGAAAATCTCCTCCCAGATCAAACCCTGCAGGGAATTCCTCCAGGGCAGAGACCAAACCAAACCAAGGAAGGAGAAAGGATAAGAAGAGGAGCAGAAGGAATTACCAGAGATTGCCAAAAAGGAGGTCCTCCAATCACTGCCAGCAAGTGCATGATTATTATGAAGATTTGCACTTCAGTCACATCAATTCTGATTAGGCACAAAAAAAGCCAAAAAAAGCGGGTTATTGCGGGCTGGGGAGCAGCTCCAGGCTCAGCAGCTCTGCCAGGCACCCCAAAACACCCCCAGGACGGGTTGGAACCTTCCCCACTGGAAAAACGGGATTTATCAGAGGTGGGCACGTCCCAGCAGGTGGTTTAATGCCTTTCTGTGCCTCATTCCCTGCCCTATCCCTAAAATATGGGAATTTATATCCGACACTCCAGTTTGAAAATAAACACAAATCCCTGCAGAGCTGGAATGGGAAAGGTCGGAACCAGGAGGGAGAAATCCATGGTGGGAGTGGAAAACAGGAAGAAAAGAGGGAATTTATAGTGTGGTTTTTTTTTTTTTTTAAGGGAATAAAAAAGGTTTGGAGGAAGAAAGAGGGAAAAATGAGGGGGTGCAAATGGATAGATGGAAATAGAAATGGAAAAAAATAAACAGAAATAAATAGGAAAAAAAAACAGGGAAAGGATAATAAGTTGTAAGAAAATAAAGAATAAAAATAAGAAATAAAATAATAAAATAAAAATAATAAATAGAAAATTAATATATTACTATATTAACATATAGTTAATATAGAGATAATAAAAGAAATAATAAAATAGCAACGAATAAATAATAAAAGAGAATCAATAGAGAAATACAAATAAATAAAAAATAAATAGAAGAAACAGGGGAAATGAGGAGGATGGACTTGCTGGTGTGTTATATATTCTATATATTATATATAATGTTATTATATTATACACATTATATGTGTATACATAACAGATATATGTATAATATAATACCATTATATATATTATATATAATATATAATGTTATGTACTTTATATACTTTTTATATATTACATATATATAATTTGTGATTCTGTGGCCACATAGAATATGTTATATGTATAACATATGGCTATAATATATAAAGATCAAATAGAGGCTGTAAAATTATAAATATATGCAAATATATTTTTACAATATATATTTATATTTTTATATATTATAAATTATATCTATAAATTATATATACTATATTATATATTTATATATTATAAATATATAAAATATATAGCCTACATGAAACATATATAAATATATCCTATTTATAAGATAATACTCTATTTTATATATTCACAAAATCTGCCATTTTTTCCCTGTTGCCTCAAAATGCCCCCGAGCCCCTGGAATTGTCTCAGGACCAGCTCAGGTTTGGAGGTTTTGGAAGTGGATCCTCCTTTGGGGACCCCCAGCCCAGATCTGGGGTTGTGGCCCCGCTGCTTTGGGGTGGCAGCAGGAGCAGGGACAGCCCCCAATCCCACAGGGAATTCCCCAGGCAGGGAACAGGGAACAGGGATGGGGCTGTTTGAGCCCCCGCACTGTCCTGGGGGTTCTCCAAGTGCTGGGAAAGCTCCGTGTCCATCCCACACATCCTGGAATGCTGGAATCCTGGAGTGCTGGGGTTGGAGGCACCTTAAGGATCCTTTGCTCCCCCCCTGCCCCAGCAGGGACATCTCCCACCATCCCAGGAGGCTCCCCCTGGCCCGGGGCATCCACTGGGAATTCCATCCCAGCCCTCCCAGCCTGGAATTCCTTCTCCCTAGAAAGACATGGAAAGGAATCTCTCATTTCAGTGGAATCTGCTCAGAATTCTCCCCCAACAGCTCTGGCTCAACTTCCCCAATTAGGAGAAGAATCCAGGGACCCTGCCCAGGGCAGGGCTGGCACTGGAGGGGATTTGAGGTCCCTTCCCACCCAAACAATCCCGGGATTCCAGGATTCCAGAGCCCCTCTGCTCTGGAGCCAGGCCGGGACACCTTGGAGCCTCTTCCAGGGCCTGGAGGGGCTCCAGGAGAGCTGGAGAGGGACTGGGGACATGGAGGGACAGGACACAGGGAATGGCTTCCCACTGCCAGAGGGAGGGACAGATGGGAGATGGGGAAGGAATTGCTGACTGGGAGGATGGGGAGGCTCTGGAATTGATTGGGGAGGGGCTGGGCTGGAATTCAGGGCATTTCTGGCACCTGATCCCTCCAGGTGATTGATATTATTATTTGTAAAATAATAATACTATTTAATCATGCTCTCTGTGAATAATATTAAATGTGTAAATAATGTTAAATGTTATAATGATCGTGGGGATGAGAAGAAGAAGAAAGAGGAAAAAGAAGGTGAAAATAAGAATAAAAGAAAAATAAAAGAAGAATAAAATAAAAGAAAAATTAAATTAAATTAAAATAAAAGCCAAACAGTTCTTGTTTCTGGTGGGAAAGTGTTGAAATGGCAGCAACAAGAAAGTTTGTCCAACTTTCCATAGTTCCAACGTGATTCCATTCCCACCCTCAGAGATTCTCCTGCTCAGCTTTGGGGGGAAGCCAAAACTCGGATAAAATAGAGAGGAATCTTTAAATCATCTTTTTGTCTTGAACAGGCAGCTTTTGAGTAAGAAACCAACTGAAATATCTAAAAATAGTTAAAAATATACATTTTTTTCAGTTGATTTTTTTCCTGCTCATTTTTTCAATATTTAAAAAGTATTTTAAAATATTTTTTTCCAGTTAATTTGAATTTTTCCCTGCTCATTTTTTCTCTTTGTGTTAAACATTAAATATTTAACTATTTATTATAAAGTAGTATATGTAATAATAATCATTATTAATATACAATATATTATTGTATATAATGTATATTATATATTATTATATAACATGTATATAAATATTATAAATTATATAGTGTTATTAAATATATAATAACATAATACTATATTTTATATTTTATAATTATATAGAATTATATAAATAAATTATATATAATTATATAGTACATGTATAATATACAATATATAATAATTTAATAAATAATAATGTAATATATATTATCTCTATACATTATATACAACAACACATAAGGCAAAACTGAGATAAAAAGAAATCTTTAAATCTTTTTGTGTTGAACAGGCAGCTTTTGAGTAAAAAAACAACTCAAGTATTTAAAAAAAAAAAATTTAAACCAATAAATTTTTTCCAGTTAATTTGAAATTTTTTCCCACCTGTTTTTTAATTTTTTTTTTTTTAATTTTAAAACTACTTTTTTTCAAGTTAATTGGAATTTTTCCCTGCTGGTTTTTTGATATTTAAGAAGATATTTGTAAAAATTAGGTTTTTCCAGTGGATTGGAATTTTCCCCTCCCCGGGGTTGGTGTCACTGCGCAGGTGACACCAGAAAAAGCTGGGAAATCCCAAAAAAAGGGATTTTTGGTGGAGTTTTTGATGCCTGACAAAGGTGCTGTCCCCGCTCGGGCACATCCCGGGAATGTTTTACCGTGTAATTCCAGACCCAGGGTCCCAGAATTCCCGAGAGCAGCTGGATGGCCACAGTGCAGAGCACGGACTCTGTCACATCGAATCTACGCGCGGAGAGACACCCTGAGAGCCCAACCGGGAATTCCCCAATCCCAAAATCCACCCACACGGGGCCAGGGACCCCAATAAACCAGAGGGAACGGGGGTTACATCTGAGAGCCCGCCCGGGCATTCCCAAATCCCAAAATCCACCCACACCAGTGTCAGTGACCCCAATAAACCAAAGGGAATGGGGGTCACCCCTGAGAGCCCACCCGGAGCATTCCCAGGATCCGGGATCCCAAAATCCAACCACACAGGGTCAGTGACCCCAATTAACCAAAGGGAATGGGGGATTCCCAGGATCTGTGATCCCAAAATCCACCCACACAGGGTCAGTGACCCCAATTAACCAAAGGGAACAGGAATAGGAAGGGGGTTTTCCAGCTGGGAATGTTCCCGGAGCTGTGGGAATGCTGAGCCAAAACGTGAGGGGGAAATGAGGGAATGGAGTGAAATTCCTTGCTTGGAATCAAAGAGGTGTTGTAAGGAATAATAAATAATAATAAATACTAAATAAATAATAAATACTAAATAATTACCATTTAAATAATAATAATAAAAAATACTAAATATATAAAAATTAATATTAAACAATAAAAATGAATAAACTAAATTAAGAATAACTATATAAAAGTAATAAATATAATTAAATAACAAAGAAATAATAAACAAATCCTAAAGAAATCAGAAATATGTCATAAACCAGCACATAAAATGCAGATAAAATACATCCCAGTCAGCCCAACAGCAGGGCATGAACAGAGATGGAAAATCACCCATATCCATCAATTTATAAAGAAATAAATTTATAAATAAAGGTGTGTTTAAAATATCTGCAAATAAAGTGATAACCAAATGTGGTTTAAATGTTTATAAATACATTTATAAATAAAAGTATGAAAATAAAGAATAGAAATAAATTCTGAAATAAAAATATATATTTAAATTATTTGGAAATAAATAAATGTATAAATAAATATGTCTTTAAAATATTTGGAAATTTATAAATAAAATTATGAAAATAAAGAATATAAATTTACAAATAAAATCTATATCTTCAAACTACTTGTAAAGTTACAAATAAATCTATTTAAATATTTATAAATATATTTATAAACAAAAATATAAAATTTAAATACTATAATTTATAAATGAATATATATATTTAAAATATTTGTAAAGAAATTTATAACTAAAACATATCTTAAAATATCTATAAAAAAATTTGTAAATAAAATCTTTAAAAGTGGTATAAAAAAATAATATATACTATATATACTATATATATACTATATATACTATATACTTAAAAGCTTCATAAATTTACAAATTAAATACACATTTAAAATACGTATAAAGAAATGTATAAATAAAATATGAAAAAATATCAATAAATTTATCAATAAATCTCTATCTTTAAAATCTTTATATCATCTTTACATAAAATCTTTACAAATAAATAAATTTATAATTAAAAGACAGAAAATAAATAAATTTATAAATAAACAATATAAATGCATTTATGACTAAACCCACAGACCTCCTGGATCCTGGAAAACCAGAGTTAGTGATCCCAGCTGGGCTCCAGGGAAGGGCAGGAAAATTCCCTGCAGGATTTGGGCACTGCATTCTCCAACGCTCTGGAGAGCCTCAGACATTCCCTGGAGCTCCTGCCCTGGATCCAGGACTGGGATAAGGCAGGAATGCCCATCCTGGAGAGCCTCAGACATTCCCTGGAGCTCCTGCCCTGGATCCAGGACTGGGATAAGGCAGGAATGCCCATCCTGGAGAGCCTCAGACATTCCCTGGAGCTCCTGCCCTGGATCCAGGACTGGGATA